TGCGTCGTTGAGGACGTGGTGGAGTATCTCAACGTAAGTGTGCGCGCGCGCGCGTGTGTGTGTGTGTGTGTGTGTGTGTGTGTGTGTGTGTGTGTGTGTGTGTGAAGACTCCACGACGACACTTGACCTGTGACCTCTTGCAGGGTTTCATCGTGATTGGCGCAAACCTTCACTTCAGCAAAGGCCTGAGGGAGATGGTGGCTGCCGCCGCAAAATGAATGCGCATCCTCATGCGCACACTGGCTCGAGCCTTGCACTTTCACACACTCTTTCTCTCTCTCACACACACAGACACACACACATACGCACACGCACACACACGCACAAACACACACTGTCAATATGATGTAAATATACACATTTGTATACATGCACTCAGTTCAAGAGGTTCAATGAATCGATGATCAAATTAATCGGTAATTATTTTGGACAATCAATGAATCATTTTGCTTTCTTTTTCAATTTAAAATTGTCCAAACGCTTGTAATTCCAGCACCTCATCAGTAAGTATTAACCTATTTCTGTCCTCCAGAAAAGAGGACTGATTGTCTTTATTTTGAACGAAAATAAAACAATTGCTCTTTCTTTGGAAAAAAAAAAAATCCACATTTTTGCCGACTTTCCTGTTTATTTTGGATGATGGGTTGGGAAATGTAATTACCAGTATTTTTTTTAAAAATCTGATTCATTGATTACTGGAAAAAAAATAATTGACAGGTTAATCAATTACTGAAGTATTGCTATGAGCATCAGTTACAGCCGTACTCAGATTTGTTTTAGGAATCAGCTTACCTTGGACCTGGATGGCTGCCAAGGCTAACCCCCACACCCCCAACCCCTCACACACATGCACACACACTGGTCACATCTTAGCATCAACACACTAACAACACGTTCAAGGTTTTCCAGCACTTTATTGTTCCATGACATGATCGGTCATCACCAATCAATGATGCGACCGTGCCAGTATAACGTTGGTTTGTTACACCTGCGTCAGTTTGTCTGCGATGCCATCGTAACCGTGGAAACCACACTTGGTGCCCGCCACCCTGCAGCCGAATGTTAGCGCGTCCTGCAGTCGGCAACCTGCCCCGTGGCCAGATCGTTTGTCAGTGGCCGTGTTCCACCCGGAAATGCTTTCTGACGGCTCGTGTACGTGTGCGCGCGTCTCACCATTAGCAAGCTTGTGGATGACGGCGGCGTTGAACGTGTCTCCGGCTCCCAGCGTGTCCAGCAGGCGCTCGGGCGGGAAGGCGTCGGAATGGAGCAGCGTTCCGTCAGCGTCCACGGCATCCGCTCCTTTCTCGGCCCAAGGGCAGATCATGACGGCGCTGAAAGATCACAAACACAATATGAGTGTCTGTGTCTGTGTGTGTGTGTGTGTGTGTGTGTGTGTGTGTGTGTGTGTGTGTGTGTGGAGACCAACCCCGCTCTGAGGCGACCTCGGAGTCCCTGGAGAGCGCTTTGAGGCGTGTGAAAGCCCAGGTGGCGAGCCACATCTTTGCTCACAAATACCTGGCACACACAGAAACCGCAAAAAAGTTTGCGGACAGAGAACAGACCTTTCCCCGAGATGCCCTGTGATTCTTAAAAAGAATTGAATTTGATATCTTTGTTCTCAAGAAAAAAAATGAGATTTGTTTTTCATCTTGGAAACAAAGATACAACCTTGCTCCCCAAAATTATCACTTTGAAGGGGTTTGGGAGCCCTCCTTCCCCAAAATGGGTTTGCAGCAAAGCACTTGAATTTTTGTTTTTTTTTTAAACATCTTATTACTTTTCTCTTAAAAACAGAAGTATTATTAATACGATTTTTCTGGTGAATAGAAAAGGATTTCTGCCCCACTGATTTTTTTTTTTTTTTTTTTAGGTGCAACCAATTTTCTACTTTAAATTATTTGCAAATTTTTGTCCCAATTCCCCACTTGTTAAGATTTCTTTCCAGGATTTTTTTTTTAAATCTTGCGCAATAAATCCCCCCCTACAAACATAAAAGTACAGTACACGCATTGCAAATGTGTGTAGTAGTTTTGTGACTAACCACGTCAGCGTGCGGGAAGAGCTGATAAAGCTTCTCTCTGGGCTTCTCGATCTCCACGGAGACGACTATCCTGTGTTGCGGCGGCGACGCGGCGTTGTATCGCGCCACCTCGGCCATCATCTTCAGCTGTTCGTCTGCGTTGCGCCCCTGCGGGAGGCATGGGGAGCGGTAGCGGCCTGCTCGGTCACTCCATTTTCGATGACTGCGCCCGCTGGGCTCACCTCCCAGTGGATCCACTTGAAGGCGCTCAGGTCCACTGCGCTGAAGTCTTCACACGTCACGTCTGGAATGTTGCTGCACAAATTCCATTGTTGTCAGGATTATTATTGTTCACAACAATCAACATCATCATCATGGCAGGAAGAAATTGAGTGGACACCCTCAAATTCGCCAATTAGGAGTACTTTCCCCTCCCTGTTTCCTCATGGATTTTATTCTGCCTTGCTTATGTTTTGAGGATGGGTGGTATGTTTTTCGAGTATTTTTTTTTTTCCCCAATTGTTGGGAAGGAGTTTAGTGTTTGGCTTATTCTGGATTTTTTCCATAAAAAATGTGCAAAATTCAAAACAAAAACAACTCAGTTACTTCTGGATAAAAATGATCACAAGTCTGTTTGCATTTTTTTTTTGGGGGGGGGTTCAAGAGAAGACATAATGCAGTAAAAAAGTGACACTTTTTACAAATGTAAAATATTTTTTAAGGGAATTAAAAAAAACACAACAAATATAAAAGTGTCATGAATTCTAAAATGTAAATTTTGGTGGCTTTTTTCTCTATAATGTGCTATCCCACTAAAGAACAATGTGAGTGGGAAAAAAAATGGTGTCAAACCTTTTCAATTTCAATGCCTGTCAGTTAGGCCAGCGAATAGCAGGTGTCCACAACTCAATCATGCAATTCATCAGGAAACATCACATTGTGACTTTTTTCATATTGGTAATTAAAATGTCTTCAGTGCAAAAACACTTCGGTAAAGATCACAAATTGTTGGACGATCTCTTCATTTCAATTAAATATACAAAAAAAGACTCCCATGCAATTAAAGTGACCCAGGGCAAATTCAAGAAAACAGTGATTCTACCCTTCTGCTAAACTAAGATCTACGAAGCTAAGCTAAGGTAAGCTAGGCGCCAAACAAGACTCACTCAGGAATTGCTTCGATTGCACTCATCAAACTCATCGCGTCAAAACAGGAACTTTCTCACGTCAACAAATGAAACTGATGTTACAACAGGAAATTTAGCACAGGGATGACCTGAGGCAATGTGTCGTCCATGGGGGATTTACTTTGGCGCCCCCCTGCGTCGACAATTTACATTACGCTTACAATAGATGAATTCTTTATACCGCCTTTAATTCATAGTCTCAAATGATAAATGGAACACTTTCTTCATTTGGTAACTCTTTGGTTCCGGTCAAACAAATCATGCTAAAAGGGACCACATCTCTCCTTTTGCATTTGTGACCTCAGATGACCGAAGTGCTAGCGTGACGCTAAGCTAACCGCTACTCCTGCCTGGTGGAGCGTGACGTCATGACGTCACGTCTGTTTGGGGCGGGAGGTGACACGGAGGTCACAGCGCGGGCTCTGCAGTGGGTCACGTGACTTTTCATTAGACCGAGATCCACAAAACCAGTGGGAGAGCCAAAATTAAAAGCTCGTCACCAGACGGGCGAGCTTAAAACAACGTGAGGATGGACACGGAAAGCAAGCCAGTGAAAAGCAATTTATCATTTAGTATCAGTGGGTCAAAAAGTGATTGGAAAGTAATGGAAATAAATTAATCAATTAAAAGCGATTGATAAAGAGACAGCAAGTGTAACTGGATCGATGGAAAGAGACTCATTCAAAGAGAAGGAAAGTCATTGATTGAATGTAGAAAATTCATCAAGTGAAAGCAATCGGTGGAAACTGATCGATGCAAATAAGAGCAACTTTTAAACTTATTACAAAATGATTGATGGAAATTAATCAACGGAAAACTAACGAAAATCCGTAGATGAAACATCACTCATTTATTATCCGTTGATGAATGGCAATTGATCGACAGGAAGGGATAAATTAAAAGGAACGGAAAACAATCGATAAAAAGTGATGGAAAGAAAGCAATCTTGCGGGTTGCCGAGTGGTGTCCGCCACGGTTGGCATGCGAAAAGGCTTGGTTCGCGTGACGAATGCCTCTGTTGGATTGATCGCCGCCCGAGCGGTCTTACGTGTCGGCCAGCAGGACAGTGCGAGAACCGCTGGACGGACAAACCACACAACATGCGCTGGGAGTTTGGCCCGTCGTCTGCCACGCCAGCCGCGAAATGTCGATGGACCGACGCGAGAAGTCGTCAACGATGAAACTGACACACACACGCGCACGCGCGCGCACACACACACACACACACACACACACACACACACACACACACACACACACAGAGGAAATTCATCCATCGCCCCTCCAAAATAAAAGCGAGAGAACCTGGCAGCCAACGCGGCTGACGGGGGAGGAGCCAGATGGTCTTCTCGAAGATGTCCTGAAACAAAGCCTGAGGCGCATGCGAGCGAGCGCTTACACCCACACACACCTGTTCATGTGCAGGATGGTGCGACTTCCTGTGGCGGCGCTGCTGATGACGAGCGACGTCGGTGTGACACAGGCGGCGCGCTCATGCGGCGAATGCACTTCCACCTGGAACCTCTGAAAATCCTCCAAAATAAAACTACAAACAGGAAACTGCTTCATGCTTTCTCTGCCCTACAAAATGAAAGACCTGAAGAGAACACCACTGTCTGTGTCCGAGTATGTGTCTATGAGAGCGAAAAGAATGAATGCGTGTGTGCGTGTGTTTGTCCATCTATTTGTGTGTGTGAGTGTGTGTGTCTGTGTGTGAGCGCATGAGTGCGTTTATACATGTAAATGAGTGTGTGTCTGTGGCTCGATGTGAGAGAAGAGAGAGAGAGAGAGAGAGAGGGAGGGAGGGAGGGAGAGAGAGATAAACAGATTGTGTCTGTTTGCATATCTGTGTGTTTTTTATTTGATCAAAGGCTCCAGCTTGTGTGTGTGTGTGTGTGTGTATTCGTATGTATGTAAGAATGTGTGTGTCTGTGTGTGGTTGTGTTACCTGGCCACAGGTCCTGCACAAAGTGATCCCATGAATGCGCACGGCGATCCCAGAAGTGATAAAACTGTACACGAATTGGACGCGTTGCCGCCTCGCTGCCATCGCTGTGACACACACCTGTCATGTACACGCAAACACTAAATTCCCTTTATTTGATTAGCTCGAATCAACCTTAACTTCCCACCTAACGTGGACATGTGTCCAGTTCTATAAACAGATAAACAGATGTGCAACTATCCATGTCAACTTCTGGTTGCATGGTAATACCATTGGCATTGTTATTGGCTTTGGTATCCGGCTGCCGGCATTTCGGCTCACCTGCTGTCCGAATCTTCTTGGGGAAATGCGTCCACCACGCTGATGATGTCCAGACACACGAGGCCGACACACAGAATCTTCTTGGGCTTGTGGTGCTCTCCCTGCCCCTCCATCTCGCTTGCCAGCCTTCGTCCTGTTTGCTTAACTTCGCTTTGCTCAACTGTTTTGCTTTGCTGGACTTTACTCTCGCTCGCTCGCCTGCCTGCCTGACGTCACCACGCGTCTTTTTCTTCTTCGCTGTGTTTACTGTGCTGGCGTCCCGCCAAACTGCGGCCGCTGGCGCTCCCTGCCGCTCGCCATCACGACTCACACGCGACGAATACCGGGCAAAACACTGAGCTTCTTCAATATTCAAAATTATTTTTAACATTGGTGACTTGAGATACACGTGTGTACTTTGGACCCCCCATCACTAGTTTCCTTGCACTATAAGTGGGTGGCGCTATTGCGCCCTCAGGCTTGTTTTCCAACAGCAAAGACACAGAAGAGCAAGAAAGCACACTACATCAGGTACAGCACAGTCACAATGCAGGTTCATATTGCGCTTTTCTGGACAGTCGTGACAATTACCACCATTGGACGATATGAACAAATATATTGTCATTGATTTTTTTCCCCTAAATTTGATTCTTATTTCTCTCCTGATATAACTTTGCGAGATTACAATTAAATCAAAGTTTGAAAAATGGTTCAATCATTTGAGAACAATTTGCACAGTCACAGGTAAGGTAAGATCAAGGTTTTATTTGCCACTTTCCCTTATTTAAAAACAATACGATAAGAAGAAACAATCAGCAGATGCAACATAAGTCATCGGATCAGGCGGGCACTGATAGTCACCATAGGAACAAGCAGTCAATCAAAAATCAGTGCTCATTAACATGGAAAAGGGGCCTGATGCTCAGAAGGGTTGCTTGTTGATGAATCTGGAGAAGACGGCGAACGCCGCCGCGGGTTTGTCCGTCGGCACCATGTGACCCGAACCCTGCGGGCGAGCCGGAGCAGAGTTCCAAGTTCAATCGACGAGCGCAAAATACGATAACGTCATTGGCGCCGGTGTTTACCTTGACGGTGAGGAAGGCCAAGTTGTTAAACTCTTTGACGAAGCCACCCACCTGGCGCCCATCCTCGCTCTCGTACAGCCATGGACGCCGACTCACCTGCACCTATGTGCATTCAAAAGGCTCCCAATTAGTGTCACAGCCACACCCACATACACACACCTTACACGCTTCCTTCCTTTTCCTGGTCATGTGGGCATGTGAATCCCTTTAAGATTTTTCTGTGATCAAGGGCTATAGAAATACATTTGACTTGACTTTTCTTCCCTTTCACCACATGACCATGAGTCATTTTTGTTCAGGTCCACTAACCTCCTGGTTCAAGGACTCCACAAACCACTCGTCCCCCATGAAGTTACAAGCCATGTCCACGTCGCCGTTGTACACCAGCACGCGGTACTTCTACAGACACACACACACACACACACCAAAACGTAAGTGATACAATGGGAAGAGGAATGCAGTGCGCACGGCGGGGTCATACCAGTGCAGCCAGAAGTTTAAGGTACTGCTTTCTGACGTCCCGATACAGCTGGCCATACTTGAGGTGCACCTCGGCACTGACAAAGACCAAGGGAATTAATTCCAGCAGTCAGCATTAACCTTTGGCGTTAGATAATCGCATAGGGCGTCTTTCGCTAGTCCTCACAGAGGCAGCATAGCATCGGAAGCGAACGGCTTAGGCAAAATTTGACACCCAAGAGCCACCTTGGATTTTTAAGACAGACACATGGGTCAGCTTGTCCATTAAAAACCTCAAGAAAACAAACAAACAAAAAATGGTGTGTAAAATGTATGCCTTAAATTGGTTAGTTGGAATGAAATAACATTTACAAAAAAGGGGATGTCAAACAAAAATGGTCGTGGTGGCACTGATAAACATTCAATATGCGTTTTCCATGAAAAAAGGCAAAATAGATATAAACACAAAATTATCTATTGAAAAACGTTTTTTTTAACCCTCAAATGTCTGAGTATGCTGAGATCCACTGTACTAAGATTGAAACATTTGAAGTCCTTTTATTATTGAAATAAACAACTTTACAGTTGCTACTTGATATTTTAGCCTTGTCTGACCAAATATGTCCCAAGATTTGTCCAGATCTTTTTTTTTTTCCCAGCCCCTTTCCCAGTTTGCGACAGTGGTACCGCTGCGGCGCTGTTCCGAAGCATTGCAGCGGTGGCGGCGCAGTCACCTGCAGATGGTCCAGTCGAGCGCCTTAGCGCTGATGTGCAGGGCGCGTCGCACTAGCGGGTTATTGAGGAAGCGGGTGGCGGGCGTGGAGTTGGTGCAGGGCGGCTCCAGGCGCAGTGGGGTCTTGCCGGACGCCAGGCCTCGCAGCTTCTGAAGTGCGAAAGGAGCAAATGTGCCTGTTGAAAGCCTGGGAAATCCATTGAAATCTAAACATGATTTGGATTTTGGCTTTTGACATTTAAAAGGTTCTCGTCAAAACGGAAAAAAGTCACCATGTTGTTTGCATTGGAAATTGAAATGCAAGACATGCTTCCTTTCACAAAAAAAAAAAAAAATCGCCATTTCTAATGCTGCAGCCAACGTAAAATCCCCTTGACAATGGTTTGAATGTGTGCAAGGATTCAAGGCAGTCGAGGTGAAACGCAACGGGCTTGAGTTTCACGCGGTATTGACATTTGGTACCTGACAAAAAGAGCAAAATGGTCAACACGCCAGGGATGAACGGGCCTGGGACAATGATGACAGTTTGGAGTCGCTAAGGTTTCGCGCTTAAATAAATACTACAATTTGAAGTAAATTCATACCTTGTTCCACATCTGTGTCCACTCGTGATGGATGAAGACATTCCCCAGGTATCGCACAACCAGCTGGCCCTGCTCCACACTAAAAACACGCAAGAGGCCATTGAGGCACCACAGGTGCAATTTGAAACAATAGTCCAGAATCCAACAAAAAGCCGGATGTCGGATTTCACCTTTGAGTCAAGCAAACCGCTCTACTGGGGAATCATCAAACTCACTAACAAGACACACACAATCCCACCCCAAAAACTTGCACGCACACACGACAGGGAACGAGTGAGGCGGGCCGCGGCGGCGTCTGACCTGAACCTACGGGGGACGCCACCAGGACACGGCGCGTACAGGTTGTACATGTTGAGCCCCGAGCCGTAGATGATGTCCTGAACCTCGCCCAGCTGCGAGCAGAGCAAAGATAGATCAGGTGGCCTGCGACTTGGAACAGTGTGTGTGTGTGTGTGTGTGTGTGTG